GGGAGGATTTTGGGTCCTCCAATTGTAGAGATCACTAGAGGAAAATGGCCAGTATTGATACTGCTGAACTCCATCTGGGCCGCCGACTGTTCGGACCGGCAGAACTGGCACGGCTCCTCCTGTGGTGGAGGATGGAGCTTCCCCCACTCGGTCCCTGTTTCCTTGAGACCTTAACTGCATCCCTCCTGCCTCCCCAGGTCATCGAAAGATTATATAGGCTCCCACTACCGTTACACAAAAGCCCACTTTTATACAACCAATAGTTTCAAAGCAAGCATTTCACAAACCAATAACTTCAAGAAAAATGTTACAACTCCCTTCAGGTGTCCCAATTGGGGAGGGATGAGTGGTATGTGCCTGGCACAGCCCTTCCTTGTTATCTTGTGTGAGCGGACATGCCTACAGACATGACACAGACACAGGTTACGGGGGGCTGTAGCACTTGCCCCTATCTCCGGATGCCTGTGTCTCCAGTTGAGTTAATTAGTTACAAGCAGTAAATTCAAACAAGTAAATTCAAGCAGTAAATTCAGACAAGCAGTAAATTCAAACAAGCAGTAAATTCCTCTTTCCCTAACAATTGATGTTCTCTAGAGATAACATGCGTGACTGTGGAAAAGTGAATCAGCTTGAGTCAGAACTGTGCTTGTCCTTGTGACAGCCCAGGTCTCTCTCTCTCTCTCTCTCTCTCTCTCTCTCTCTCTCTCTCTCTCTCTCGTGCATCTCTCTCTCTCTCACACACACACACATCACAGGGCACCCTGTATCTCAGGCTGTTCTCAACTCCTTTCCTCTGCAAAATTGGATGTCCTTTTGATCAATAAATTAAACTGACTTTACAATGTTGCAAAAAAAAAAAAAAACAAATTAAAGTAAGATAATGACTAAATATGGGCAAATGCTGTCACTTGGCTTAGACCTCAGGGTTTTCCCCTTCGCTCTGAGTAAATCACAGGGCACCCTGTATCTCAGGCTGTTCTCAACTCCTTTCCTCTGCAAAATTGGATGTCCTTTTGATCAATAAATTAAACTGACTTTACAATGTTGCAAAAAAAAAAAAAAACAAATTAAAGTAAGATAATGACTAAATATGGGCAAATGCTGTCACTTGGCTTAGACCTCAGGGTTTTCCCCTTCGCTCTGAGTAAACACTGCTCAAATCTGGCAGGTTTGCAAGGATCTGAAACCTGTAGGGAAGGGATTGTCTCCATTGAAGTTCAGCATTCATTAACCTCCAGAGCTCCGCCCACAGGGAGCAGCCAATTCCGGCCCTTTCTGTTTTCTTCCTTAAATTCGATCTGAGAGTATTCCATTGCATCCTGGCAGCTGCAAAGAAAACAAAACTTTGAAAGGGGACATTTTAAAAACAGTTGAACTATTTCCCTGGAAGGATCCTGTTTTTTCTCATCCTCATTCTCAGCTCGCCTAATAAATACAGAATCCTGCCTTTTGTTTCTTTTCTTTTCTTTTTTTTTTTTAAACTTCAGTTTCACTTTCAGAATTGCAGGAAATTTACCACACTGATGTTCCTGACGAAAACGTCTGAATGAAAAAAGAGAACGGTCTGCAGTCAACGTAGCAGGTGAAGGTGATCTCTTAACTTCCTATGGGACAGAATCTCTCTCTGGATAAAATCAGAAAGTGCTTGGCTTTTAACATTTACTCTCTGCCTTTGAGCTGGTGACTGAGATTGTGTCAGAATCATTCAAGAAAGAATGTGGAAGACTGATACTGGTAGGAGGGGAAAATGTACGGTAATTTGGAATGCAAGCTACAGCAGCAAATCTAATTTTTGTAACAGCATAATTTTTATGCAGCTACTTAAAAATGTTTTCTCTATAGAATGATGTCCTTTGAAAGATGCATTACTGCAGCATCCAAAATGATTTTGGAATAGCCTTAAAAAATGCAGTATGAGGCTGGAGGAGAGGGGTGTCCTTCAACTCTAAAGGTCCTTGCCACTACACAGGATGACCTGAGTTCTAACCCGAGTACCACATGGTGAAGGAGAGAATAGACTCTGACACATTGTCCTGACTCTCTCTCTCTCTGTCTCTGTCTCTGTCTCTGTCTCTGTCTCTCTCTCACGCTCACACAAAAAAGAAGAGTTAGAAGATAAATGTCAAAATATGTTGTATATATATCTGAAATTCTCAAAGAAAAATGTAATTAAAAAATATCACACCTTTGCATTAAGGAAAAAAAAATCTCAAGTCAGTTAAAAATTTACCTCCTTTCCTGCATTTAGTTGACTGGAGGAGAGAAGACAAGAGCTGACATTTATGATAACTGTTCTTGAAAAAGCAAGAACTCTCAGGTGTTCCTAGGAATAAGTAAGGGTTTTCTATTACATAATAAAGCAGAGTAGAGATGGGTCACAGCAAAGTTGTTCAGAAAGTTGCATAGGAAGATCAGAAATCAGTACAAAAAATGATGGATTAGTCTGGGGAAAACAGTCAGCCCTCACCATATTGAAGGTGTAATAAGTTGTTTTCCTGACTTTAAAATGTGACTGTGTGTTGATGGGTCTATGTGTGTAGGTGCTTGTGTATTAACATAGAAAAAGTATTGCAAAGTTTATGAAATAAACTACAAATAGGGATTAGCTCTAGAGGTATTTTGTCTCCAGACTTTGTCATAAAGCAATACAGTCTCTGCCTTGTATGAGGAAATGTAATTCTATGTACTTTCAAAGACACTTCCCCTCTCTCTCTCTCTCTCTCTCTCTCTCTCTCTCTCTCGCACACACACACACTTTCTCACTTTTTCACTCTCACTTCATCCTTCGACTGTATTTTTGTTTATTTAACTGAAATATGTCTTTGCATATGTCAAATACTTCTTTTCTTTTCCTTAATTATTCCGATGAATATGAAACTTAAAATGCTTTCTCCTAAATGTTTTGAAAACTTACCCTTATTGTTTTACCTAATAGTTCATGTTACTGATGAAAAGTTATGTATAAAAAGGATCTATTCCCTTTGGTAATAATTATCTGTATGATATCCTTAGAACATTTTTAGGATTTGTGTGTGTGTGTGCGTGTGTGCGTCCGTGCGTCCGTGCGTGTGTGTGTGTGTGTGTGTGTGTGTGTGTGTGTGTAAATGGTCACCATTCTGGATTTCCTAAGATTATGTTCATGAATTTACTTTTTCACACATTCTGCTTTGTTGCCACCTAGTATACTTTTCAGATCTGACACTGTCTTTCAGTTATTCAAAGATACCTTTTGTAAACATGTTAGTCTTCAGTAATTCTAATTTTTATCTACGGCCTCCCCAGAGGGGTAAATGTCACCTGAGCAAGAATACCTGGCAGGGACTGTACCCATAAAGTGGTAAGTAGAGGCCAGAAGCCCTCATGGTACTGGGAGAATTTGTCAGTTGTTGTTAATCTCTTGCTCTGCCAACTGATTTATAATGCAAACTTTACAGTAGATACGTATGTATAGGAAAAAACTTAGTGTAGATAGTAACCACTGGGAGTCCTGAGCTGTATCCCCTACAGGAAGAGGAGATGCAGTAAAACATGTATTATAGGTAAATTCAGATTTAATATGCTGAATGAAAAATTCCATATACATGAAACTGCATATGATTCCATTTATTTGAGATTAGAAGGAGTCAATTTATAGTAGAAAATAACAGTATTTGAAGTTAACTGGAAGGGAACAGGAATTCCTTGGGATTTGAAACACAGATTTATCTACCTGTCAAAAGTCAGAGAATGTACTCTTAAAATTTGTGCATTTCATTACATGGAATTTTACATTGAATGAAAATGTCTATATTTAAGTACTGAAGCTAGAGATAAGAAAGTACATTCTGTTTAGGGAGAAGAGTACTGATGTTTGCAATATACTTGTATAAACTGAAGATGTCATTATAAAATTCTTTGACGTGCTGTGTACTTAAGATTTTTTAACTAAAATATTTGCAAAATATGACTCAAGTATACCTTTGCATTGGATCATTTAACAGCAATAAAAATGGATGAATGTTGAGATATGATGAGATGTGGCTAATTCTTACAAACTTAATTTTCAGCAAAGAATAAAAAAGATAAATCAAAATGATATATTCATTACTCTCCTTAGCTATGGGGGTATATTCTAAGACCACAGAGGGTACCTGAAACCATCCATAGTACTAAGCCCTACATCCACTGATTTCCTATACATACACATCTTTGGTAAAGTTCAATTTATAAATTAGGCATAATAAGAGACTAATAATAATTAATCGAACAGTTTTGACCTTGTGATAATATGAATATGGTCTCTGCCTCTGCCTCTGTCTCTCTGTGTCTCTGTGTCTCTGTCTCTGCCTCTCTGTCTCTCTGTCAAAATGCCTCAATTCGTCATTGCACCGTAGTAATGTTTTGCATCATGGTTGTCACAGGTAACTGAAACTGTAGAAAGTAAACTATGATAATGAAAGACTATTGTGATGCATAAATTCATTAATATTTATTTCAAAAGCAGGTAGAATTCCATGTAAGAAGTAACTACATTTGGGAAGAAGGGGGTATTGATGAGGTAGGTGTGAGGGAGGGTTCTAAAATATCAGAGTTTTTCATTTCTCAATCTGACCAGTGATTATATTAATACACTCATTTATGAGAAGTCAACAATTTGTATATTTATGATTTGTGTGCTGTTCTTTATGCATTTAAAATAAAATTATTAAAATAGAAACAATCACTGTAGGTATATGAAACCTAAGCATATTATCTAAAAACACAAAATGAAAAGAAGGAAAATACAAAACTTGAACTCTGCTATGAATAGGATTACAGAGGAGCGTCAATGTCCACCTAAAAATGATTCCAAAAGGGAGGATATAGGAAAAGTAGGAAAGGAAATAATCTGTGTGATAATAGAAAAAAAAATATCTGAAAGGAAACATGAACTTTCAGATTGAAAATAGCAGATAGCATGTAGATACATTTCAAAGGAAAGACACAGCTTGAAGTATCTGTGAAATTTTGCATTTTCTTGTATAAAAAAAGATACAAAGAGAAAAAAAAGATTCTTTAGATAAAGGAAGGGAAATAAGGTAGGTATCAGACTTCGTTTTTAATGTATATCTTTTAATTAAGCTTTGTTCATTTCATATAATAGATCTTAATCAAACTTAGACCCACTCCCCCATCTGTGCTTCCCCACAGCCCCCCACCCCTATGCAATTTCTGCATTCTGTCATATATGTTAAGTCCTATCCAGGCAAGCATTTGTACCCAGATGTTCCTCCATACAAGTTCCTCTACTGGAGTCAAGTCAGCCTATCTAGAGTCTCACCCTCAAACAAGATCAACTTTCCCTCCCTAACAGTAACCAGCTACCAATAGTTCCTTGGCTAAGGTTGGGGCCTATTGCACATTTCCTCAGCTCTAGGCTGGGTTTTTTGTCTGTTGAGTTTATATGGGTCTTGTCCATACTCACTATTGTTGTAAGTTCATATGAGCAAGTATTATGGAAATAGAGCTTATCAGATGCTAAAGGATTTTGCAATGTGATGGTAATTAAGAACTCCCAGAAGGGAGAAGTGAACAGGAATCTTCCCCTGCCACCTATGGTTATCCAGGATAAAAGTCTTTGTTTTCCAAAGCCATCATATTCCTGTATGGAAATCTTTTGTTACTTAAGGCTTTTGTATTCCTGTAAACTTTGCATTTCTATTACCCTTGCACTCCCTGTTATCTTACTTAATTACCATATATATGCTATGTACCTTTTGCTTGCATTCCTCCCATGAGTATAAAAACCCTCCAAAACTTGAACAGGGGGTCTGACTCATTTGATTCAGGGTGTCAGTCCCACTAGTGTCAAATTTAACTTCCTCTCCCCACCTGACTTTGGCTGTTGGTCTCTGATTTTTCTGTAACACAAGTTCCCAAAGGCTTGGATGACTCTGTTTCCTTATGATCATGTACCAACCCTGGCTATTACAATCTCTTCTGCAATGGTTCCTGAGCCATATGTGAGTGCAGTTTAATATAGGAGTCCTATCCAGGGACACACACTCCGCAGTCTCTTAGGTATCAGGCTTCTTAACAACACCGGATAGTTGAAGACAAAGGAATGATGCCTTCATGATTTTGTGTGAAATGTATTTTGAGGTCAATATGGTCAGTATTCATGAAGAAAGCATTAAAATGAAACCCATTATTTTGCACAATAATATATGCTAATCAAAATGAATGAGAAAAAAGAATTTTGTACTTCAAATGGCTCACATACAAAAATTACTGAATGTGGGAATGACTTATAAAATGAACACAGTTTGGACTAATGACTTTTAATGAACTCCAGCAAAACCATGTGCTCTTATGTCTTGTGACCTTGGCACTGTTGTACCTCATCCACTGGACCCCAAAAAGACCACTGAGGATCCAACACACCAAAATGCAAAAGCAAAAGCTTATGGTTTATTCAGGCTTAAGCTCGGGGACTCAGACCTCACCAACTCAACGGATCCATGCTGAAGGCCCAGAGTAAGGGAGAGTGGAG